GTGGCAAAATACAAAAAACACTGAAGACACACCATCTCCACAATACACTATGGGGAAACACACGTTCAGCATTTCCACCCTTAATTTCACACATAAGAATACAAGGAACTCAAGAATAAGGCACATTGGTTAACTCTTACCACTTCATGTCATCCTATACCAACACTGTGGGATCCCAGACACATTCTGTCCTCTGAACGAGGGAGCACATCTGTGCTATTACTTCAGAACAGACTCTTATGGTGCATTCAACCCCTCTACCACAACAAGCAGTGAGAACAGTGAAAACAGACTTGCTCTCTCACATGCAATAAACAATTATAAATGCAGGGCAAAAAGTTACCGGCAACAAAAGACAAGGTCACAAACAAGTTTGTCTTCACCGGTTGTAAGAAACTTAAAACTACTGTTATCCTGTACAGGTAAAAAGAACAGCAAAGTAGAAAATCTTGTATTCTAATATTCTCATTTATATCTCCTCTTCTGAAAAATGTGCCTTTCGTTACGTTCAGATTTGTTCAATTCAGAAATGTGTTCAGCTGTTAGATATGCACTGCTTCTTTCACATTAAGAAATAAGGTAGCTTTTAACTCATCTCTCATATAGGAATTTTTACTGCATTGAGTCAAAAAGAGAAGAAAAGAATTGCAGTCAAACCGCAGTGTCTCAGAAAGGACGAACACTTCACTAGCAACTAGATGGTAAAGACAGAAAGGAAAGTGAACTATGCCCGAGATATCACATATGCTCCAATTAAGTTTTAAAAGTTGCTACATTTTACAATAATTAAGCACAAGACAAATGCAACATGCCAAATCCAATGAAATGCACATATCTACAGCCAATCTTTTGGAGGATGAGAAACACTGATAGATTACGGTTTTGCAAACCAAGCAGAGCTTTACAGGGTCAATTCCTGGGTGAGACAGTTAAACAAAAGTCACAATTAGCACTAAGTTATTCAAACGATTCACTGAACTCTCCTCTGAATTTCTTATCAACTGGCATGACATTCCTAGGTGCAACGCATGTTGAAATAAGCATTTTCCAGACTGTCTTGTTAGCTTGTCTTCTTTAGAGTAAGACACTTAAACACACAGTTCCTGCCTCCCCAAACTTGTTCTTGATTTCAAAGGTGAACAATACTTTTCACTTTTTTACCTTGACTGTGTAATGCACTGTTCCTATTTACAACCATAACAGCTGCCATGTATCAGCCGCCTCAGCAAGAAGCACTTCATCAGCAGCTCGCGCCCTCATACACACACACACCAGCGAACCTTACAAAGCACCGTAGTTTAAATTGCCTTTCAAATCCTGTTTGTTTTCTAAGCAGCTTGTTAAACTAAGCAAAACTCTCTTGTGAGTTTAGAGATTATGTTCCCCTTTTTTATGTATTTGATCATACAACCACTCTGGAAAGTAAGCTCCAACCTGTCAATTAACATGCTTTGAAACTTCTTCCTCAGTTAAAACACAAACAGCTCCACAACACAGGCCTACAGAATAGCAGACCTGCCAGGAAATACTTTTTTTTTTTTTAAACTGGATGCTGCTGCAAACAGCCTAGAAAGTAGGTTATACCTTATCATTCAAGCAATAAAAGCATGCCTGAACACAAAACCAGAAAAGATGAAAAATCCGTTGTCCTTCTACCTTCCACCACCCTGCTGCCTGTCCGTTTTACCCTTACACAGGCACCCACAAACATCCAGGCAAACTACACATGAGTATTCTCAAAATGGAACTACGTCTTCCTCTGCAAAGAGGATTTGGGAGCACAAGAAATTTCTGCTGAATAACATCTTTTAATATTCAAGTTACACTTTGCTTTATCTCATGTTACTAGCTTTACTTCTACCGTCTTGGACCACCCTACAAGATTCTTCTCCATTATGTTCTTCAAATGCTTGCAGATAATCATATCTCCCACTTAGACATCATTTAGCCAAGTTTCATGCATTTCTTTTCATCTTCTTTCCCTCATAAATCAATCCCTTCAGCCTCTCCAGTGTTCTTGCTGCTCTTCCCTGAACTTCTTCCAAACTGCTGACATCTTTCAGTGACTGAGGAACCTCCAAATGCATGCTGCACTCTAGATGTGTTTTTTGTACTGTAAAGAAAGATAATTAAGCCTTTTCAAGAAATATTAATGCTCCAAGTCTGGAATAAATCTAAACCAATTTTTTTTTTCCCCAGAATGCATAGTAATTATCCCAGTTTTACAGAGCAGGAGAGGAGAGGGGAGTATCTAACTTAGTGCCGCACACAAGCAGTGCCAGAATAAGAAACAGATCCATGTTCTGCCATTCCTGGTTGTAAGGTCTGCCAAGTTTCAGCCCATAGACGACGTAAGACAATGCTCCCTGTGATCTACAGGCAAACACAAACCATTTCCAAGCGACTATGGAACAACACTTGGGGAGCCCAACACTTGCTTGCATGAGCAGGCACAGTGCTGAAGGCTGCTGGCACCACTAGGTCCACATAATACCCTACGCCATGCCATGGTCTGCTATTACCTTAAGTAGTTAGGACACAAGTTTCTGATGCATCTACCCGATTTTCATTGCTACGCAGAGGTTTGTTTCTAAAACCAGCCCTCAGCTATAGTCAAGTTAACAACCTCTGGAATTGAATAGCTTGTTTAGGTAAAGACTGGTTTTAAATAAGAGAGGACTGACTGACTGCCAGGCTGAGGCAGTCCAAGGCAGTTTTCAACTTGCATGTTTCCTTCCCTCTCTCCCACACCCCAATACATTTGTGAATGAATCGCAGGGAAATCACTTTAGAAAAACTGAAAGAGAGGTCTTCACAAAAGAAATCTGTGAGAGACTATAGGAGGGGAGGCAAGGCTGAAGAATGGAGGGATGGGAAAGAAGAGTCTGATCAGTTAAATTTAATAAAAAAAAAAACCCCAACAAACCAAAAAACAGAACCTCACAAACAGGATGCAGACACATTAAAAAAGCAACACTGACCTAACAAAGGAATGTGAACTGCAGTTGACTTAAACAGCATCACAGGAATAGCCCTCCCCCTACACAAATCTTTGCAACTCTTAAAGACACAGGTTGTTAGGCCCTTCCAAATTCTGTGGGTCTTTCCCCTGCTAGCCAGATGTTGTTCGACACTCTTAGCTTGAGCTAATTTAGCTTATTGCCTCTTCTTTCTAGACCACAAGAGTACTCAAGTCTGACCCAGACTAAAGCAAAGCAAACTAAGATTATTCTGTCTACCTTAGAGAGATATTAAATTCTCATGTTCTGCTACATATTCCTCTCATTGAAAGAACAAACTATAAAGGGTCCTCTGTTTCACGGCCTGCTGTTAAACATCAGAAGAGTATAACCAAGATTAGATAATGGACACCTTGGTATCATTCTTCCCACTAACTCAATACACATAGCAAAAAGCAATTTTCTAAATCTGTGTACGATTTTCTTAATGTAACTGCTGGCTTGCAATTACAGTTCCTGCTTACATCCACAACAGTGACAAAAAGTCCTTCCTACGCTTCTCCCCATCCCATGAAGAACCATTTCCTCCTTCCAAAACATGGAAATGGCAACGTAAATGACATCCTCCTGTTATTCTTCTCTTTCATCATATTTTTGCCTCCGGGAGAGAAAAGCTACTAACACTACATTTTTAAGCAAGGTATCATCTTGATTTTCAGCTTGAACCCTTTTCAGAGTTAAGGTCATCTACACATCATTTCACCACTTACCTAAAGGCACCTATCTCAGTGAACGCTTAAAAGCTTTTCTATACTAGTGAATACAAAACCTGCATATATCCGGTGCAGCTTGCTTCTTTAAATATGCACTCTGCTTGCTAATTAGGCCCTCAGACCCATTCACAAAGTCTAGCATTTGGTGACAAAACTGGAATCACAGCTAGGATAGCAGACAGAAGGTTTTTTGTCTAGTCAGAAATTCTTATCTTGTGATAGGAAGAAGAAAGGAAATTTGCTGAGGGTCAAAATTAGTGCAGTTGCATCAAGCCTTAAGTTAAATGGAAAATAGTCCATCTCCAGAAAAAAAAAAAAAAAAAAAAAAAAAAAATCGGGAAACTTCAGTTTTCTCTGTAGATCAATTGCTACATGATTGTTTGCCATCATAGAACATCACGATTTCTTTTCTCCACTTGTACTACAGAAGCATTCTCACTCATCAGCCTAAAGAAGGTGGAGGATTAACTAGTGACAAATGGGCCAAAGACACCACAGAAATACAAAAGTAATTCTAGTATCCTTAAAATCTTATCCCACAATCTGAGTTAAATGCAGCACTTTTGTAAAGGCTCAAAATAACTTTCCTACCTTAAAAGGAGGAGAAAAAAACCCACCACAGTAATGACACTTAGAAACTCTAGCATCCATCATCCCCCCATGCTCTAACCTAAAGAGGCATAAATCCTTGCTGTAATTCACCAAGGATGAAAAATACAGTAATATATAATACCATAAAACCAAGGAGACACAAGCAATAAAAACACCTCTCAAGATCTCCAAAACTCATTTATCAAGCAGTTTTTCCTTGAAGGAAAGTTAGGTAATAACATGCAGAACAGAGCCAGTTTAAGGAATTTGCATCCAGTACACTATACTTAATAAGTAGCTACAGGTAAAAATGATTGCAGGTTTGCTTTCCTTTATTTGTTCAAAGGGCTCTAGTAAACCAATACTTATATTAAGAGAGAAGAGATATCCACAAGCCTTTCTAGGCAGAGTATGATTTCTGTGTTACTGACACTTAACAAGTAGTCATTTTGAGACCTGAGTTTCCTGACACAGGAGATGTGCCTTCAGGCCATTCAGTCTCACAGTCATCACCATCTAATTCAAAGAGGTACAATCCACCAAATCATCAGTGGTCCAACTGGGTAAGAGTCAATTTCAGAACTTCAGGAGACTACTGGTAACATTGAGACTGACAATATGGAAAGATCCTCTACACTCAACATAGATTAGTATTTGTTAGCTGATAAGCACCTACCTGGAATTCGGATTTTAAATTTGCCACTTTGTCCAAAACCACCATCTATTATTCCATCTTCTCCTGTAGATAGTTTAACTTTTAGACCCACAAAAATCTGGATGTTTGTTTCCTTTTTAAACAATGAACGACCAATCACACTGTAATCATCCATCACCTGAAAAAGAAATAGGGTTTCATGAGTCTATAATCTAACGTGACAAGAAAAATTATACCTATGAGATACACTAAAGTTTGGCGACTTCTACCACCCTGACCTTGGAAAACGATTGTGTGCAAAACCATAGAAGACTTTATGAATTAATATGTTTCTGCTTCCACCTCATTTCTTATAATAGGAAGAACAAACCTGCATCAGAACATGCTGTAAAATCAGTTAACTAAAATATCTTTTTCATGGAAAGGTTTCAAAAAAAAAAGTCACTTCAGTACCTATGCTCACAAAAAGTTTATTCTAGTACTTATGCTACAGTTAAGTACATTATCACCCACATAAACATTCTCTTAGCTCCAGACCTGCACTCCAACAGCTACACTTCCAAAGAAATGATGAATTACTCAGAGTTTCTAAAGAGTCTTTTAAAATATTCACCTTTACATACACATTGATTTGTTAAATTAAAAGCCTTGTGACCATTGTATCCCATTTTAATTTCAAGGTTTGTAACCCAGTGGGAAGAACCATTCCAAGTTGAATTCTTAATTAAGCTATCAGGAACAAGAGGTAGCAAGGTTGGTGGGTAAGGCAAGATAAACAACTCTCCCTCAGGCATTACAAAGTATAAGGTGCAGTCAAGTGAGCCTAATCCTGTAGGTGTGAATATCCTTGTATACCTAATGCCTGGAGTTACTCTACCTCATAGCTGCAGCAAGAACATTTATTACTTATCAGAAGAAATAACGGGATATTACTTAAATCAAGTTTTTTTTTTTTTGGTGGCAAAAGTTGCAGTTGCTCTTCAGCTCTTAGCAACAATTTTAAAATAAACATAAGGGTTTCAAAGACCAAAGTGACTTAGAACAGTAAAGAATTATAACCAATTTTGAATGCTCCCCTTTACTCAGTTTAAATGACAACTCCAAGTATTGCTGGTTTATTAAGCTACTCTCCTTCCCTGAAGCCTCCTCCATAAACAGTAGTGCATATATAGACTCAGATCCCGAGCATTATTATTGTTTATTATTTTGTTACATATGTATGCCTCTATTTTACTGCCAAGCTCAGTAAATCTAGCATCAGAAATTTAATTTTATTTTAAATGGGGTTTACTTGTTCAACTATAAACTGCCTCGAAAGGGCTGTGCAATATTAAGAGAGCACCGGCAGGACCTCTTCCTGTCCCAAACCACGTGCACATGCAGGATAAGAAACGTCTACAGCCCTTCTTCCTTCTTTCACATAGAGAAGAGAATAGTACACGCAGCTCCGCTTCCAGCCAGGTGCAGAGTCAGGGCTGTAGGCAGAAGCATTCAGGTGTCTCAACATTCACTACCTGAACATCCAGTCCCCATCTTTTCCCAAAAGGTAATGTTTCTGGGTTTTTTTTGGTGTGTCTGTCCTCTCCCATCCCCCTCAACAAGCACTGCTTCAAAATGGCTTGTGAACCATTAACGGTAGTATCACTGCTTGGCAACCTCTGGCTTAAATTTAAAACTGAATAATGTCTTTTACTAGAGCTACTGATAACAGGTGGTGGTAGAGGGGGAAGATAAGCTTTCAGGCACATGTTCCTTTCTTTGGGTCTGAAATAGAAGACTAGCAGAAAAAGAAGCTATTAATTCCAACTTGAAGAAGCGCTTACATTCTCAAAACCTTCTTAATTTTTCCAGTTACACTAGCTGGTGAAATAAAAACATTGTTTCTTCCTATAAATCTTTTCTTCTTAAAACAAGAATTTCAAAACTGAACATCTCTCTCCTCTACTGCTGGCTATATGCTTCTTATCCCTGCATTTGAAATACAGACTATCTCTTCCACTACAGTAAGGATCTTCCATGTATCTATTATTTTTGTAGTTATCCCCCCAAAATGACACAGGAAGCCAACTTTAAAGACAAAATAAACATCTTTTATTCTTCTAAGAGCACTTCAAAGTTATCTTTAACTTAATTAAAAATGGAATTACAGGGTGACCAATCATACTAGGCTACCAAGGTTCAGTTTAGAGCCTCCCCAACAAGGATGTCAGAAAAAAAAACACCTCAGAATGATTTCTGTCAACAAGTGTTACAGGCATCATGAACCTTTGAGTAAACTGGTAATGATAACCTACAACTGATTATTATAACAGCAACAAAATCTATCACCACTTAGGTATGTCATACTCATTTAATATCTTTTGATTTTAAAACTCTATCTTTTATAAGTAAATGTGCTTTTTAGGGTCTTGCTTTTGTACACAGAGTTTAGGAAAGTAACTGAGGGCTCCAGCTGCACCGTTCCTTTTGCTTCAATGGTCAACTTGTTAAAAAAAAAAATCCCTCCTAAAGCTCATTGCTATGTTCCATCCATATCACCACTATTCCTTGGGCATCTCTATAGGCCATTAGAAAAACAACTGCTTTAGTGGTGCAGAGATCATAAGTGATCAGTGACTTGCCTGAGTGGCTGTTCAGAATAAAACCTTTAAGACCCAAAGTCTCGGTCTCATACACTAAATCCCATCCTGTGTCATCCAACACCCCCCATTAGCCTATCACCAATTCATCCCTGAAGAAGACTAAATATTAAGAGAATGCCTGACATAAGAACTAAGATAACTGATCAGTCTTTGCAGTGAAATAAATGGGTGAAGGAGAGATAATTGCTAGGTTTAGAAAATGAGGTTTCCTATGTAAGACCATGTTAGAAAAATAAAAGAAAAATTAAATTTTTGTTTAATTCTTGCTTTGTAAAAAGGCACAGAAATGCATGTTGTTCTCTCCAACTGAAACTCAACACTTCCAATTACTTTACCAGCAATTTACCTCCAATCACTGGATTTTAAGTTAATCCCCTTTGAGTTCTCAGAACATCTACAATGGCAACCACTTTGCCTATTAGCTGAACAGCCTTTTGGGAGATCTTTCTGCTTTTCTCTCAAACACTCTTTTTTTGTTATAAAATATTATTAACTTAAAAAGCCAAATGCCGCAAAGACAGTAAGGGATATGCAGTCTGCTCTGAAGCAGCAGCGAGGGGCCTAGCAATGAGGGTAGACTAATTTTATTAACTTCAGGGAAACTTCAAAAAGCTTTAGGGCTTTAATGCCAGACAGAGACGACCCCAAAAGTCAGTTTAAGTGCTGCATAAACAAAGGATTAGGGCAAGAAAAAGCTGAAGGCTCCTTGCACTTCTTGTTTATATTGTCATATGACCTAGTAGGAGTGGGAGAGGGCTGCCTCTCTGACTTTAATCCCCCATGGTGTACAGTGGCGTTTCAGTTCACTGACCTACATTAGGATAATATTTTTTTAAATTTATGGGCAGAGGTGCAGCATCAAACTCACTTAAGGACTTTAAAAAAAGAAAGGGGGGGCAGGGGGGGAGGCAGGGAGAAATACCCAGAAGAGAAATTTTCTGGATGGTATAGTCTCCCCCTCTCACTTAGGTTAGATCAGCAGCTTAGAAAGGGATTTCAAGTTCAAAGGGAACGTTTCTGTTACTCTTGTTTTATGGCTTAGACCAGAGGACACAATAGCACTGAGTTTATGAAATAACCCTTCCCACTTGGCTTTTGTATTTGCAGGAAAAAAGTAAACAGCCCTTTATAACCATAGGTGAAGTATGTGCATCTCTGGCACATAACACTTTTGCTAATACCAAGAAGTTCACAGAAAAAATTAACCACCTCACACTCCCCATCTAAGCACTACTTACTCTACCATATATCGCTTGCAAAACCACAGTTAATGTTACATGTGCAAACCATAGTATAATTCCAAGGAAAAATAACTCTGCAAATTTTCCTTTGAGCAGGGATATCAAGCTATACTGTTCGGCCTATTAAACAACCCTCATTTTTAAGGTAACTTAGAAATTACTGTCATCTGAACACCCTCTCAAACAATCCATCACACACATTGAGAGTAAAGAACTTCATGTCACAACATATCTGTAGAAAAAAAATACAGAGATCGGAACAGAAACACAGAGGAGGAAACAAAGCAGTGCCAGAATGAGATGGGAAATAAGAAAAGGTTTGAGACAGAGAAAGTAAAAGCACTGAATATTAAATACTAGAAAGAAACACAGAGAGAAGGAACAACCTTTTCTGATTTAATCTAAGATTATATAGTTTTAAATAGAAATAAAACAATTTTAATAAGGATAAAGACAGGTCTGAGGATTATTTTCAAACTGATAAATGGCCCACTGAAACCAAAGCAGAAGACAACAGGAGGGGAAAAAGAACAAAAAGAACCTATGACTAACACTGAAAATTCTAAGTATTTTTATTACTTTTCTGTATTTTTTCTAAAGTACACTTGAGACATCTTCATCACGACCAGTGACAGCTCATTTGTTTCTAGAAACAGTTTCGAGCACTTTCCATTTCTGTGTCAGAAATGGGAATATTTTGGAAGCTGCAAATTCCTGTTCTTCTTTAAAATGTGGCTTCATACATTGAGAAAATGACAGTACATGAGGCTGCAAAAAGGGTGAAGGAGAAAGAACTGGAGAGGATTTCACTGATGATTTGGTTTGCAGCTTTTTTAATTCTCTGAAGACTGTTCTAGCTTACAGGTTGTTACTGAGAACTAGGGTGAATGACTTGGTACAAAGGAAGAATGATTTGGTCAGCCACACCATTTCCTCAAGAGCTTACCTCAGCATAAAAGCATTAAAGGTTTTTCTTTCTGCAATTCCCTCCAGCATTACTAGCTTTTGGTTGTGCGCTGCCTAGAGACCTTTCTCACCAACCTCCAAGCAAACAAACTAAACTTCTGCCTTTGAACATCAACCCAGGAGGAAGGAATGGAGATGAAACATTCGTCTCCTCCAGTACTTCATGTCTCATTACTGCTGTTCTAATAGAGCAAGAAACCACCACACAGACTTCCCTGCCTATCTACTAACTTTGGTTTTCAGATGTTTGTCCCACATCTCCCCAGCCTATGTTTCTTGTATCCAAGAAGCATCTTCCTTTCTCTGCCCTTCTCTTCCTTTCTCAGTAA